AACCCAAAAAAATTATAATTATTACTTCTTGCAAGCACAAGGACACAACTTCTATCCTCTCTCTGATGATGAACCAATGAACCACGTGGAGGTAGAACTACAGACAGAGTATTCCAGCCTATAGAGCAGCAACAAATTCGACATGAACTTAACAGCCCGAGGGCTCACTCACCTTTAGGAGTGGCATGTGCACATCATCTAGAGTACTATTGGGAGTGATAAGCGCCTCCTCGAGGTCCTCCGCCGTGAACTCCCCCGAGATGTTCAGCAAAGGGCGGTACACCTGCAACCACGAAGAAAACAGCGCAACAGCCCAATCAAACCCTAACCCTAGCTTCTTCCAAGCTCAACCTACGAAAGCTAAACCAGCAGCAGGTAAGCTGCCGGGCACAGTGGACCAGCTAGCACAGGGGAAGGTGAAGCACGCACGTGGAGGAAGTTGAGGACGGAGGCGAGCTCCCACATGCAGCGGAGCCGCCACCGCGGCATCTCCGCGGGGGCCTCGGGCTCCGACACGAGCGGCGTCACCACGCGGCATTGCGGCGACTCCTCCGCGCCCCCGGCCCCGCCGCCCGCCGCGGCGCGCCGCCGCGGCCGCTCCGGCGGCGGCGGCGGGGGCGGCTTCGGCTTGCTGTTGCACGCCCGCGGCAGCCGCGCCTTCCTAGGGGCCGGCTCCGGCGCCGGAGCCGGAGCCGGAGCCGGGGCCTCCTCCTCCTCCTCCCGCTGCTGCTTCTTCTCCTCCTCCTCCTCCCCCTCCGCCGCCGCCTCCTGCTGCGGAGGCGGCGGGGAGGAGGGGGCGTCGGCGTCGGCGGAGGAGGGCATGGGGGGAGCAGATCGGGGATCTGCGTGGGGGGGAGGGCTAGGGTTTGGGTGGGAGGGGGAAGCGGGAGGCGAGGAGGAGGAGGAGGGGGAGGCGGCCATGGTGGGGGAGGGGGAGTGGAGGAGGAGGGGTAAAAGTGGGATTCCGCGTAGGGGATGGAGAGGGAGAGGGGCAATACGGTAAAATTCGCAACCACGGGGTCGGGCGGGTCGCCGTCGTAGACTAGACTCGTGGAAAGCAAGCGCCCGAACCGGACTCGGACGGCACCGGCCACCGCGGGCGTCCGGGCGTGTCTCCCCCGGTCAGGTTGGGCAAGGGGGACATTTAACCTTTTTTTTTTGTCACTTTTTAGAATTGGTAATTAATGATTTATTACCACTAGTAGTCTATGGCTCGTGAGTCCTCATGTATCTATGATATGTAGATCAACTGGCAAATCATTTATCACCACTTGCAAAAGTGACAAATAGTTAATTATTCCTAGGCAGGGATTTGGATACTAATGTGGTAATGCATATGTATGATTGTACGTACATGATACTCCCTCCATCCAAAAAAATAAACTTAGAATTGGATGTGGTACATACAACGAATCTAAAAAAAGTTATGTCTAGATTCGTAGTACTGAAATATGTCACTTCCAGTACTATGTTGGTTTTTTATGTGACGGAATGAGTAGCTAACAAATTAACTCAACTAAAGATATTACGTTTAACTATAGAAATTTATTAACGTACGGTTAATAAAGTATTTATTATTATAGATATTGTTGTCGAAACGACAACCGCATACATCGGAAGACGTGGTTACTCAACAGTGGTTGGAAAATAGTAAAGTGTATTAAATTGAGAAATTTTCTTCGGTTCCCCCTATTACATGGCCCTAGGGGGCTATTTATAGCCCCATTACAGGTTCTTACTACTAGGGTTTAGGTTATACATGTGAATTTACATAGTTGCCTTATGAAAGGGACATTTACATGGGTATACAGTTTAATTGAGGTACATGGGTTTCTAATGGGCCGTCTGGCGAATGTTGGCCCAATGGCCACCAGGCTTGAGAGGCTGGGATAGCCTCCTGAGCCTTCTCGAAGCCGAACTCGTTATGGCGAAGTCACCCTCCTTCGTCATATACTCTTCGCCTTATAGTATTCGCCCAAGATGCCTTTATCCTTGTGAAGTACTAGCGCGATTCTCCGCCCTTCGCCCTCTTTGCTTCATAGTCTTCGCTGTGGGGGCTTCGCCCCAACGATCTTGACGTCTCGGGCTTGAACCCTCACTGGTTGCATGGTTTCGGCAGGTCTGGTCGAAGGGTCTCATGTCATATCACCAACAGATATAAAAAATATATTTATTCAATTTGTTTTTTAAAAAAACTTTTATAAAAAAATTACAAAATAATACCAGTCAAGGGAACATAGCATGCAAAAATAAGATAATAAGATAGTAGGCTAGTAGCTAAATCCTATGTGAGTTGTGTTTGGAATTACACTTTTTCAACTTCTACTCCATCATCTTCTACGTGCATGTTTCCCGCTGCTAAATAATGTGTTTATTTTTTAAAAAAATATAGAAAAATTGCTTTAAAAAAATCATAGTAATCTATTTTTTAAGTTTTTTAACTAATACTTAATTAATCATGCGTTAATGAGCTACCTTATTTTCCATGGAGAAAAGGAGTTTTTAACCATTGATTTAAACACACCCTTACTCTCTCTACCCTAAAAAACTAAACCGCATACTAGATGTTGACATACTCATACTCAGGTATAGATTTGTAGTACTAGAATATGTCAACATACAGTACGAGAGTTTTTTTTTGGACGGAGGGAGTAGATTTGAAAAGAGCCTTTGACTCGTAGAAACTCAATTAAGTTAATGAGCTTCTCCACTTGAGTACTTGACTTGTTAATGTAACAAGTTAAAAAGAAACTCAAGACTTTTTTTTAAAAAAAGTATATGCAACGCATGGGTATGACAAAAAAAAATATGAAAAAGAGGTCGAAATTAACCCAAGAAGCAAATAAACCCATCTATCTAGGCATGGCTCCCTCATCCCTCCTTTGATGGACCAAACCGATAATATGCACAACCTCACGCAGCTGTTAAAAGGAAAAAAAATGGTACCTTTCACATTTTAAATACACAACCTCATAGGCCGTTGAACTCATTATTACATGGTTTTAAATTTTTATGTGGTATATTTAGGGGCTGTTTGGTTGATGCCTAAACTTATCGTAACTAAGATTAGGCGAGTTGTAGGATAGGGACATAGTGTGGCTAAGAAATAATTGGCCATAAGTGTGATATGGTTCGGTTATAAATTTGAGAGTATAACATGTGGATCCCAAGAGTAAAAAAGTATGGCATAACACAATTGTAGTAGCGAAACAAACACATACATAAGAAACTATGATATGATTAAAGTGTGGTGTAGCAAAGTGAGGCAACCAACCAATCACCCCCCCGTAGGCTCATATATTAAGAGCTATGGCTCATGTTATGTATCATGACTCACAAAATTGAGTTGCCATGGACAATTATGAACTTATGATAGGAAATCATGACCTTATGGTACATTTGCAGCATATAAACAATGGTTTGTAATTCAACACATTAGTCCATCCGTTCCAAAATATAAGGGATTTTTGTTAAACATGACACATCCTAGTACTATTCAGATTTGTGGTATTAGGACGTGTCCCATCTAATCAAAATATATTATATTTTAGGATAGAGGTGATACTAACACAAATGAAGCAATTAATTCGCGAGTAAGCTTGAGCTGGCTGGTTAAGCACTTAAGCAACCAAGTCCAGTCAAGCAAGCTAAGTACGCACGTCGAGTTAGCTCATGAGTTTTGAGTTATTTTCCACCTTAGTCCCAATGCTAACATTATTTGTACTCCCTTCATATCATAATAAGTTTACTTTTAGCTACTCTCATCTATCATAAAATAAGTTTATTTCTAAGTTATCATTACATCAGAGCGTGTAAAAGTAGAGGATAAATAAATATGTTAAGAGTAGATAAATAGAGAAATAATAATTGAAATTTAATAAAGTGTGGATATTCTATTTTTTATTATATGTATAGCATGAATGAAAAATAAACTTATTTTAGAACAAAGATAGTAGTTTCTATATTCTCCGTATCACAAACAAATTAGTATTGCATCTAACCCTCTCGATCGATAGACTAATAACTAACTTAATGTCAGTTTCTCTAGTCTTAGCCTCTAATGCTTATTCTAACCTAACTTTGTCTCAGGAAAAGCTCGTAGCCTCAAAAAGTAGTCTCCTGCATACACACATCCAAAATTATGTAGGGAATGTATCCTGTGCACTTAAATCTTCACGCGTACACACCATACACACCAATTAACAAACAATATCACTAAAAATTCTAGAAAAAATTGTATATGTACTTCAACAATAGTACATCTACGTGTAAAGTATCTTATTCAAATTCATCCTACATAAAGAGAAAAAAATACAAAATTCTAATAGAGTTATAGCCTTAAAGCAGCCAGATTGCTTTTTTTATTTTACGGCTAAAATATAAAGAATTTGAGGTTAAGATTTTACACGCATGTGTAATACCATCGAAAGTATATGCATAAAATTTTATAGATTTTTCGGTGACATTTAATTAGTTGATGTGTATGAGAAATGTGTGTGCACAGTATATGTTTCCTTATATCAGTTGGTAATTAACATTTTGCCTTTGCAGTGTGTCAACCCAAATAAAACGCTGGTTGGTTCAAAGGGTACAGAGAACTGCCCCAGAATCACAAGCTGCAACTCTGATCTTCTGAGCTGCAAAGTGGTAACACAGCTATAAAAGCATCAGTTTAGGGGTCCTGAACCTGCAGTTCGCCACATCAAGATTTGGACTGTACATGGGCACAATATCGTTGCAAGGTCCACGAAATTCAGATATTGGATCCATCATGGCTGTCTCTTCCTTTGAATTTCCATCAGGAAAAACAGGTGCAGGCGTGCAGCGCCAACGAAAATGACATGTATAGATGCCCATTTCATTTTAGTCAAAAAGAAAGGAAACCAATATGGAGAAAAGGGACTTTACTTTGCAATCCTGTCATGATTTTGATCTTTCGTATGAACCTGGCAGAAAACTTAGGTAGTTAGGTGTCGAATATTCATATGCAACTCCCGCAATAAAACCAAAAGCATATTATAGGACATATTCCGAAAAATCGACAAGCCAGTCCTTGCAAAGAAATAAAAGTTGTTCCCCCCCGACACGCCAGGATGGCAGCTCTTAGTACAACTGTAGGCTCAAGCTATGCAATACAACTGTTTTTTTTTTTCATCCTCTTCTTTCCCTATTCAAATCCGAGCTACAAAGACCATGGGATACAAGCAAAGCAGATAGACCGTTGAGTATCAACAGGTCAAGATGAATGTATCTATGGCATCATGGACCAAATTAGGAACAAAAAAATAACTTGGTGACATGATAATGAGAAGAAATTGTTGAGAAAAAAAAATAATCCTAGGACCACAGGCTTGATCGATCCCAGTACACTTTATTGCCACTACAAGGAATTATGTTTTATGGTTTTGCTTGCTTTATTCATGTCACTCTTTCATATGCATTTCCAATCTGCATGTGAAGCCACTCTGATGTTGAACCCTGGGCAAATTCCCTTGTTGTTTGTGGATCAAATGTCAAACCAGCAGCTGTGTTATATGGCTGAGCACCAAACTGCAAGACCACAGGCACTAGTTAATCTTTTTGAACCCTGTATGAACATTTTAAGACCTCATTTCAGGAGGAACAAATGCTACATAAACAATGTGTCATTTGGCCTAGACAGGAGGTGACCTGTCATTATTTGCAAGTATAGATATTATTCATCACCATTAGAAAAGATCCAGTAACTTAGCAAAGCCGTTTTAAAAGTCTATGAATTGTTTTGCATGTTGAAAGTTATATCTATGTGCAAAACAAGATTCCTGTGCAATCATCTATGTAACTGAAACATCAGTAGAAAATACTGATCTCTCAAGCCATTTGTTTCCAAAGGATGGTATTGTCTACTTTCATTTAGAGTTGAGGGATGAAAATTGGACAAAATAAGAGTTTAAGGATGAAAAGTAGACTTAATCCATAACATTTTAATTGCTCCATGTCCAATGAATTGAAAATAATGTAAATGTAGAGCGTAAAATGGAGATTCAGGAAACAAATACACACTGAGTAAAATAATAAGCTCAGCAAACAAGTCAGGTCAATTTGAAATGTTAAGAGCTGAAGCTGAGATAATAATCAAGAATCTTGTAAGCTCAATAAATAGTTGTTCAAAACTAAACTTACATCTTTAGATGGAAAAGCAACAATTCCGTTAATCATGTGACTATTAACTGCTTCAAGCTTCATGGACAAAAACTGCAGAAACAGCTCAATTAGGTACTTAAACATAAACTAGAAGACAACTCCATGCCAAGCATGATTGAGAAAATGTAATACCTCAACTTGATGCTGTAAAGACTGGATGTAATTTATTATTTCATCAAGGACTGATGCTTTCCCAATGACCTGAGGAATTGAAAAGTAAATATTATAAAAGAGAACCATTTACTCATAATAGAATTTTGAGAGAACAAAGAGCTTTAAAGTAACAAAAACTTGAAAACATGATGGTATTCAAAGTGCACCTTATTGCATCCAGGGACAAGATCTTGAAGAATTTTCATCCGTTCACTTATCTTCTCTCGCCGTGCCTGTCAATAAACAAATATTAAGCTGATATGATTATCATGTTACTACCCGCAATCCACCTTGAGCAATATCTGAACATTACATTTTCTGTGATGAGTTGGTTGTCACTCTGTTATAATCTTGTGAGAGAATATTATAACTTGTATAGTTAAAATGAAAACCGAAAATTAGGGAAAAAAAATATTGTGTAAGAGCTTACCCGCTCCGCAAGGCTATGGCTATCGGTTGCTTGACCTCTTCTTGCCCTCACATGAATGTAGTCTTGTTTTGGTGGCTCTGGTGGTGTAGCATTTTTATCAGCAGCCTTACTGCTGTTTCCTGAATCGGTTCCAGCTTCTGTCCTTAAACTATCATTCTTATCACTAGATTTCATTGGTTTCAAACGTTTTGCTTCTGGAGCATCCTGGAAAGTAGGGTGGTGACTTTCAGTTGATTTGAATATCCATGTAGATAGTCGATGAAGTATAAACACAAGTATCCAGATATATCATCCACACTGAAGTGAACCACCTATAAATTTACTTTACATTTTTAAAATACAAATGAAATTCAATCATAAATAAGAAACGGAGGATTTGTACAGTACAAAGAATTCAAGGTTTTATAAATTAAGCAGCACTAATTTGCGGGTCAACTACAAGTTCTTGAAATGACAAAAAGAACAACATCACATATACTCCCGAAATCGTTTTGGTGATGTGTGACTAACCCAAGGAACAACGGAACAGTCCAGCAAATACAGTGTCTCAACTAAACTAACAATATGCTTGAATTACCCAAGGTCTGATGGAGTGATGGTGCCATCAATATATGACAGCTTTGAATATGCAAAGGCTCAAGCACCAACAAAATAAATTCATACTTCAACTGTCATGCTACAGCTTCAGAAAGTTAGCAACATCCTAGACTAAGGCTAGGATGCCAATGAACCCAAATGAACTGACATGCCCGCATATCTGATTCCCACTCTACAAGGCACTGACCAGTATTGAGCATTTCAAAATCATTTATCAGTATTGGACACTGGCATGGACTTGGCATTTGGAAGATTTTGATCTGTGTTAACTAGGTTTGGCGCTGCTCAAGCACTGAAGCTAAACTGCTCCCCACGCTGCTACTGCCATAGCTACAGTAGCAGCAGCGCATGTGCATCCACATGGACAAGCAGATCACGGCGAACAGGGCCATCAAAAACCACGATTCCACAGCTTCCCCCCTTGCTTTGCAACCCCCAACCCCGAAACCCACCAACCCCAACACAGATCGCGCCCAATGCGGTTCCCCCACGGCCTTACCGAGTCCTGCCCGCCGCCGCCGCCGCCGCCGGAGGCGGCGGAGGTGGAGACGACCTTGGACAAGTCGTCGTCCTCGGGCCCCGCGTCGCTCCGCGGCCTCCTGCGCCCGCTTCCTCCTCCGCCGCGGCTTCCGCTCCCCTGGTCGGTGACGACGGACGACGCCTCGAAGTGGTGGCGGTGGTGATGCGGCCGCCAGAGCTCCGCCGCGAGCGAGGGGGCCGGGTCCATTCGCCGCCTGGGCGGCGCGGGAGGAGAGGGGAGGGGCCTAGGGTTTCGCGAGCTCGCCTGCGGCGGCGGCGGCGGCGGCGATGTGGCGGCGAGGCGGAGGTGGTCGGTCAGTGAAGTGCACGGGGGAGAAGAAGAGCTGTGATGAGAGAGAAGAGGAAAAATAATAATTTAAAAATAGTGGGGCCTTTTGGATTTGGAAAGAGATTGGTGGAGGTTATTGGGGGTTGGGCCCAGCACTTTGATGGGCTGGACCTGTGGGCCGGTTTAAATTTTAGGGTAAAGTCATTTTTTGGTACTATGAACTTTGCTCGAAATCTATTTATCACCACCTTATTATATGCTGTAAGATCGATTGCTTTTCACCTTTTAACATAGGATACTGTTGATTTTTTATTACATGTTTGACCATTCGTCTTAATTTTTTGAATAAGATGAATGGTCAAATATGTGTTTAAAAGTCAATGGTGTCATCTATTAAAAAACGAATGGAGTATTGTATAAAACCCATTTGCTTTGATTAATATGATAGTGCTTTTTTATAACAAGGAATTCCAATTTCAAGGGCTGGACTGTAGGATTAAGCTAAATATAGTTGTTGAGAGTCTCCTCGAAATGCAATGCGCAACCATCCATGAACAACGCGGTGACCGAGGAACCATCTATTTTCGATTTTACTCACCTACCCGAGAAAACATTGCACTAGGAAAATGCATGTCACTATGCCATGGAGAAAAGAAAACGAGAAGGGCCTTCATCGTTTGTGCTGGCTGCAGCAGTGCAGCTGCAGAAAAGCCGCACAACTCTATTGCAGCTGAATAAAACCAGTTACTGGCTGCAGTTATCAAACAGGAGCAATATTGGTAGGGAAGTTATTAGCTAATAATTCTATAATAGCGGCTTAATAAGCTTATGGCTATTGAACGGAAAATGTACTATCATGATGAAAAAGTCACTTAATTTGCATGGAGTAATTAGGGATCGCTTAATTTGCATGGAGTAATTAGGGACTTGGTGTCTACATGGACAAAGGCCGAGTTTAGTTAAAACTTTTTCTTTAAACTTCTAACTTTTTCATCACATCAAAATTTTTCTATACACAAACTTTCAACTTTTCCATCACATCGTTTCAATTTTAACCAAACTTCCAATTTTAGCGTGCACTAAACACACCCTAAAAAAGAAAGGAGGGACCGGGTATAGTAGGAAAGTAGCGGCTTTGCACGCTTGGATCTGCACTATTGCACCCTACTGCTTTAGAGCAGGTACAATAGCAGACTATTAGCCAGCTATAAACATATTTTAATGAGATAAAAGATGAGAGAGAAGAGAAGCGGACTATAAATCTGTAGCTAGCTGCAGCATGGACTCCAAAACACAGTGTGTGTATGACAAGTGTGACCATATATTAATAGTATAGTAAACAACTATTATATGAATTAGCTATTAGATTGGCTATAGATAAATTGGAGCTAGTAGTGGGCTATATTATTAAACTTGCTCTTAGTATTACTCACACACAGTATGTCTGCTTTCAAGGTAACCTACTTTTGATCCTGAAGACTTTAATTAAACATCCTTAAAAATCAATTTCACCGTGCACTCTCGCTGCATATTAAAAACCAAAAACAAATATCATGAGTTGTAGTACAAACTTTGACCACTATTATGGGTTTAGAAGTATTCCAAACTGTGCACTACTTTATGGAAGTAATCCCTTCGTACTCGTAAAGGAAGTCGTTTAGAACAGTGACACGGTCTCCAAAACACAACTTTGACTTCTTGTTTCTATAAAAATATTTATTGAAAAGTGATATATGTATACTTTTATGAAAGTATTATTCAAAACAAATATATTCATATAATTTTTACATTTTAAAACTCAACAAATTTAGAGTTATTCATGATTTATATTTCCAAGGTTTGACTTAAACATTGTCCTAAATGACTTCCTTTACGTGAGTGCGGAGGGAGTATGTACAAAAATAAGTATCACATTATACCATAATTTCTAACTCATATACTACAAACAAAACAAAAATAAAACATCAAAGCATGAAGAGTATGTTACATCAGTTATCCAAGCGTCACTACGGTAAAGCATGAGGATGAAGATCGTTTGTGGTTGTAGCTCATTACTGCCTAAAGTATTTGTTATTATGTCGTTCTCCTTTTTTTTTCGCTTTTTAATGATGATACGATGTGTGCATTATAATTACGTAGGTAGGAAGTAATCTTAGATTAACCGTATCATCTTAGTATAATTATTTAAGAGTAAAGTGTACTGGCGGTCCTTAAACTTGTAAGGGTGTGTCATCTAGGTCCCTAAACTCTCAAAATACATATCCAAATCCTAGAACTTGTCATAGTGTGTCATCTAGGTCCCAAATCGCCATAACCCCTACAGGATCCTACGTGGCGCTGATATGGCATGCCACACGGACATGACGCGGCATTATTTTGACTGACAAATGGGACCCATTTAATTTTTTCTTTTTTTTCTTTTTTTCTTCTCTTTTTTCCCATTTCTTCTCCTTTCTCTGTGATCCGTGCAGAAGATTCGAAAAAAAAAGAAGAATGAGAAGAAAACGGAAAAGAAAAAGAAAAGAAGAAGAAAAAAAAGAAAAGGATACGTCACATCCATGTGGCATTGCCACATCAGCGCCACGTAGGATCCTAGAGGGGATGTATCAATTTGGGACCTAGATGATACACTTTGACAAGTTCTGGGACCTGGATATGCATTTTGAGAGTTTAGGGACATATATGACACAACCCTACAAGTTTAAGAACCGCCAACATACTTTACTCATTATTTAAGATAATAAAGTTCTTTTTAAAGTAGACGTTTAGTATAAAAGCAGATTCGTTTTCCTTCCCTTTTTTATCCCACCCTCCACGTATTAAAAAAAACATTCCTTCTCTATAAAAACACTTTCATCCCCACCTATAAGAAAACATTGTGAGAAAAATCGAGAAAAAAAAACAGGGCTATAAATATTTGATCAAAATCAAGAAAAAAAACATGGCTATAAATATTTTTCGGATGAAATCAAACTTCTTAAATCTCGTTGTAACACATGAGCATATCACAAGTAATCTATTATATTATTAAAGGAATAGAAAAATGAGCCTCCACGTTCACTCTCATGGCCTAGAAATTCTCACATTAATCGGAGAAAAAAGAAAAAGCAGAGTCCATATAGAAATACAATTTAGAAATATCTGAAATTCGGAATTAAAAAATAATAAATATTAAAAGAGGAGACTAGAGTCCAAATGGAAATACAATTTAGAAATAGATGAAATTCAGAATTAAAAAATAAGGAATATTAGAAGAGGAGACTAGAGTCCATATAGAAATACACTTAGGAAATAACTGAAATTTGAAATTAAAAATAAGGAATATTAGAAGTAGAGTATAGAGTCCGTATAGAAATACAATTAAGAAAAAAAATAGAAATTGGGAATTAAAAAATAAGGAATATTAAAAGTAGAGTATAGAGTCCATATAGGAGTTTAAAACTAACTAAAATTTGGAATAAACATAATAAAATTAAAACTAGATATTAGAGTCCGTATAAAAATACAATTTACAAATAACTAATATTTGAAATTAAGAAAAAAATGGGAAGAAGAGTTTAAAGTCAATATAGGAATACAATTTATAAGTAACCTCCACGTTCACTCTCATGGCCTAGAAATTCTCACATTAATCGGAGAAAAAAGAAAAAGTAGAGTCCATATAGAAATACAATTTAGGAATAGCTGAAATTCGGAATTAAAATATAAGGAATATTAGAAGATGAGACTAGAGTCCATATGGAAATATAATTTAGAAATAGATGAAATTCGGAACTAAAAAATAAGGAATATTAGAAGAGGAGACTAGAGTCCATATAGAAATACAATTAGGAAATAACTGAAATTCGGAATTAAAAATAAGGAATATTAGCAGTAGAGTATAGAGTCCATATAGAACTACAATTAGGAAACAACTGAAATTCAGAATTAAAAATAAGGAATATTAGAAGTAGAGTATAGAATCCATATATAAATACAATTAGGAAATAACTATAATTGGGAATTAAAAATAAGGAATATTAGAAGTAGAGTATAGATTCCATAAAGAAATACAATTAAGAAAAAAAAATAGAAATTGGGAATTAAAAAAATAAGGAATATTAGAAGTAGAGTATAGAGTCCATATAAGAGTTTAAATCTAACTAAAATTTGGAATAAACATAATAAAATTAAAAGTAGAGTTTAGAGTCCGTATAAAAAATAATTTACAAATAACTAAAATTTAAAATTAAGAAAAAAAAATGGGAAGAAGAGTTTAAAGTTAATATAGGAATATAATTTAGAAGTAACTGAAATTCGAAATTAAAAATTAAAGAATATTGAAATATGAGTTTAGAGTCCACATAAAAATACAATTATAAATAATAAAAATTCAGAAATAAAAATAAATAATATTGGAAGAAGATCATAGAGTCTATATAGGAATATATATAATTTACAAATAACTAAAATTTGATATTAAAAATAATTAATAACTAACACGTATATAAAATACAATATGAATATTACACATTTGTAATTTTGTAAAGTTATTGCAAAATTTAAAATTATGTTGTCATTTTAATATATTTGAATAATATAATGAGAAAACATATATGCTATTATATGAGAGAAAATATAATGATGCTAGCCGCGCAATCTGCACGGGTCACCATGCTAGTTAAAATATAAAAACGTGAATATTAGGAAATGACCTAATATCAAATAATTATAAGAGGTGAGGCTTCAAACCCAGATCGTTTAGCCCACTATCTTATGGAGCTAGCCAAAAAACCCCGCGTGTTTCTCACAAATAATTAAAATATGAAAAGGAGTACTCTCTCTGGTTCCATAATTCTTAATATTTTAGATAAGATTGAGGTTAAACTTTTATAACTTTGACTATTAATAACTTTAAAAATATTTAATTTAAAAAACCTATAACAACATACATATTGTTTTATCTTACAAAGTACTATAACAAAAATAAAAATTTATTTATTTATTGTATATATATTATATTAAAAAATTATAGTTAAGTATGTATTTTTAAGTCCGTGTTATTATCTAAAACATCACGAATTATGGAACCTAGGGAGTAGTAAAAGTAAACTGACATGCCGTTCCATCTAGAGAGAGCAAATGGGACAGCCACCCCTGTTGGTCGCCGGCTATCAAGCGGCCGAGCACGGAAAGCGTGCTCATGCATTTCCCGGTTGTCTCCATCTCTTTCGATTGACCGACCCAGACGAGAAATGGCTTGGCCAGCGTACGTATACTCCCTCTGTACTTACG